TGGCAGCTGACTTGGAAGGTAGTCCTATACAACAGGTCCTCACAAGACAAAGGAAAGCAGCCAAAGGAGGTGGTATGTATCACTCACTTGTGGGCAAATACGTGGCGAGTGGTGAATTATGAAATGTAATAGTTGTTGGGAGGGATTTTTCACTACAACTCAACTGATCTCACAGAAAGAGCCAGGAGCGAAAAACGGAAAGGAAGACTCTGCAATGGCAACTTTCACTGGTCGTGATGGAGACAGACATGACAGTTACAGAATGGGATTTGGAAAGGTAAAGATATCGGACGTGAATAACGAGTCATGGCCCACCCCGTCTCCCCCCCCACCCCACCCCCCACCCCGCTTCAGCTCACTCACTCCATGGGGAATTACGGCTGTATTTACTGTTGCTATTGTGCCATAGCGATTGTGCTGGTGCCCTGGGGAGCTGGTGCCGATACTGGAAAGAATCCAAGGAGCGTGAATGGAGGGAGGTTAAGTACCACAGGGCTTACCAGGCGGCCCCTGGCTCTCCCCTCGTGGCATAATGCCTCCAGCTCCTTGCTTCCCAAGAATGTTGTCACCAGGATCCCGTTTGATGAGCCGTCCTGGAGACCTGTATTTAAACCAGAAAATGTGTCTTTCATACAAGGTAGAACATTCTAAAAAGTACATGTTGCTGTGGTCGGTGTTTTACTTGTTTATGGTAGGAAGTTGGGTATTACAGATAGAAAGCTCACCTCCCCTTTCTCTCGAAGGCAACGACGTTAGTGACCCGAATCCCGCAGGTCTTTCTCCCTTAATTAGGCAAAACTGTTGAGAGTTTTGGCCCTTACTGGATCTTAAAAATAATCCTGCGCCAGACTTCAAATACAGAACGACCGAAACTCCAAACAAATAGCTTAAAGATTCGCCGCTGGTGTGGACTTTTAGCTGACCCAGTCAGATACCACAGTAACAAGAACGTCTCTGCTGGATAAACTCGCTTTCCCAGCATTCTCCTCGTGCACGGCATCTCACTGCATGTTTCTCAAAGGGTACTGGGCATCCCTTGAGGTTAACAGTTGGCATTTCAGGGCACACCAAAGCCCTTTGAGTTTGGAGAGACGGCTCAGAGGTTAAGAGCACTGGCTGCTCTTCCAGAGGTTCTGGGTTCAGTTCCCAGCAACCACGTGGTGGCGCACCACCATCTATAGTGAAATCTGGTGTTCTCTTTTGGTGTACATGCATATATATGCTGGCAGAAGACTATACACATAATAAATAAATATTTTTTAAAGATATTAAAAAAAAAGGCCCTGTCTCGCCTCTGCAACCCCCTTGAGGACGTGTTGTCTTGCTGTATGGAGAGAAAGCCTCCTGTCTGACAAGCGACTGCTCTGGAGGCTTGCAAATCACCTTTAGGAGCTTGCCTCTTTGTTTTCCCACAGGAACAAGTCCAAATGGGATGTTGCTTAAAGCAGGAACTGTGAATGCTGCTCATAGGGGGCAGGGGCTGGAGCGGCTCAGGGGTTAAGGGCAGTTGCTGCTTTTCAAAGCACCGGTTTAGTCTCAGCACCCAAGCGAGGTAGCAAGGTACCTCACAACCACCTGTGACTGTAGCTCCAAGAGACCCCACACCTTCTTCCGGCCTCCTTACACACACACACACACACACACACACACACACACACCATAAACTCACACAGATACAGACATCAAATGAAAACAAAAATAAAATTTAAAAGTTCATGAAGCCAGCCCATCGGCTTGCACATGAAGTCTCCGATGGAGCACACTGGGGACACAGACGACCTTGGACAACACTATCTTCAAGAAATGTTTCTTTTCAGGGTTCTCACTGGGATGCTTGGAATGCAGTCCCCGTCTCAGAGCCAGGAATTCCTGTCCTTGATCTCCAAGGACCTGTGAGGCTCTGGAAAGCTGTCACAGAGCCAGCCACAGTGCCAGCGCCATTATAAAGCCAGACCGGAGTCACTCACACAATGAGGCAGGCTCTGGGGCACAGGACTCCGCAAGTCCCCTAGATTGAAATGTGGTCTCCTGTGGCAGGTCACAGGCCAACCAGCTCAAGACATGGAGACTTATTACCAATTATGAATGCTCAGCCTTATCTTATGCTTGTCCTAATAACTCATAACTTAATTTAACCTGGTTTTCTTCATTTACATTTTGCCTTGGGGCTTTTTACCTTTTTTCCATTCTGTCTGTCCTACTCCGTGTCTGGCTAGCTGGCAGCTGCCTGGCTGGGTAGCCCTAGGCATTTCCCTCTCTGTCATCCTTCTCTCTCTCTCTCTCTCTCTCTCTCTCTCTCTCTCTCTCTGTATCTCTCAGTCTCTCTCTCTCCTAACCATCTAGATTCCCCCTCCACTACTTATTCTCCCTGCCCACAGCCCTGCCTAGTCCTCACTTGCTTAGCTGAGCCATTAAACTTTTTATTAGATCAATCAGGTGCCTTAGGCAGGCGAGGCAACGCATCTTTGCACTGTTAAACAAATGCAGCAGAAACAAATGTAACACACCTTTACGTAGTTAAAGTAATGTTCCACAACCTTCTCCCTTCAAATCCTTATAGTAAACAGTAATTCAATCCTTAAAATTCATTGTGCTTTCATGGGACACACACACACACACACACAGAGAGAGAGAGAGAGAGAGAGAGAGAGAGAGAGAGAGAGAGAGAGGGAGAGAGAGAGGGGGGGGGGAGAGAGAGACTCACATGGGACTTCCATTTGTAGACATGCGCGATATTAGGCCTTAACTGACTCAGATGCTCTGAGATGGGGCCGCAGCCGGTGATCACCAAGCCCTACAGGGCTTCACGCAGGTGAAGAGCACCTGTTCATCCTTAAGAACCTGCTTCGAAAATCCAGCTGTGCCCCCTCAAGATCTGCGTGCACTTGAGTGTGCTACCCTTTCCGGGTTTACAGAGAGGATTAAATGAAACATGGTTTGAAACACTATGTCCAGTGCGGCACTTTGTTAGACAGTTTTCCATGGCCACAACCAAACACCTGAGGTAATTCACATATAAGGAGAAAGAGTTCATTTTTGCTCAGTTTTGAAGGCTCTGGGCATGATCTGTTGGCCCAGGTAAGGTGGATTCTTTCCCATAATCATTCATGTTGCAAATGAACAAGAAACACAGTTATGGGCAAAGGTCCTTTCTCATCCACCTCATGCTGAGAGCAGGTAACGCAACAAGATCACTCCCTCTTTTATTATCTTTCTGTATAGTCCTGGCTAGCCTGGAACTTGCTGTGTAGACCAGGCTGCTCTGGGACTCACCTGCATGCTGTCTTGAAAGGATCGAGGACAGGAAGAAGCAAGGGTTGCAATCCCACGGTCCCTCTGGATTAACCAAAGCTGGATCTGTTGGGCACACCAGGAGGCCCCACAGTTCAAAGGGTCAGCCGCCTCTGACCAGAGATTCACGAAGGTACAGCAAGGGCATACATTTAGCACCGGGTTCGCTAGCAGGGACAGTCACTCTTATAAGACAGGAAAGAAGGATAAGCCCACGCGTGTTTGAACAAGTTAGCACAGCATTTACCTGCCCTTAACTCTGAAACTGGGCTTCAAAGGAACCCAAAGGCCAAGCACTCTCTATGTGATTCCATTCACACAGAAACACAGCAGCGGTCCCCAACCCAGCCCAGCATCAGAATCGCATGCTACCCCCAGACTTTGAGAGACAGAATCTCCAGTGGGAGAAATTGAGCAAAGTTTCACGGGTTAATGTTGAAGAAATTCCTGGAATCAATGGTGATTGCAATTAGAATATTTATTATCTATACCAGATGCTATGCTGACTCTACCACACACATTACCACCTCAAAAACAAAACAAAACAAAACAAAATACATGGAATTGGATCTTGTTTTGTTACCTAGGCTAGATTTGAAATCACGATCCACTTGTAGCAGCTTTCCAGGTGGTTGAGAGGAATGCACAATACACACACATACATACACACACACGCCTTCATTTAATTTTCACAGAAACCCTATGAGGTACTGTTTCCATATTTAACCAAAAAGGGAAATGAGGTAATGAGAAACTGTACCACCAAGCTCTCACAGATGGGAAGTGCTTTAGGATCTGAACGCAGGTCTGAGCTGCATTTAACTGCCACAAAACCCAACGCACTCATTTGCTCACTCTTCCGACGCGCATCTGTTACGTATACAAGACCAGGTAATAGGCTGAGAGCAGGGGAATATAAAATAAGTATAGATCCCCACCCCCACCCTCAAGGAGCCCACGCCCTCGAGTAGAAAAAAAGACAGCAGCAAGTGGGCTGGCTTCATTTAAAGAGATGATGTCCCGAGTCTCCTGTCTCTTTGAGAGGCTGAAAACACTTGCTACTTCCCACTGGCCTTCCCTCAAAGGTGACTCAATCCATCGCCCTCCCAGACTGTAAGGATCAGGCCTGCCTGCAGGGTGCTAAGGCTCGCAGCAACCCCCGAGTGCAGCCTTGGAGCCAGTGCTAACAAGCCGTAGAGCCCACACACCTCTGCACCTCGCTGTCTGGGCTGGTGCGTTCGGTCATTTAGCTAGCCCTGCGCGCCCTCTGCTGGCGGCCAGTGGGATCGTCCGGAAGGCGCGTGCCTCGGGGCGGGCAGGCCGGTTCTCCTCCAGGACCGGGCTTAACAACTTAACAACCACTCCGAACCCCTCGGAAAGAAACGCGGGAGACGCCGGGGCTTGCCCTTTGGAAGCGTGCCGTGAACCCGTGGCTATAGCGCACGGCTGAGTGGTAAAATGAGCTCCAGGGTCCGCGCCGGGCGGAAACCTGGCTCCCGGTCCCATTTGCGACCTTCAAGGACACAAAAGAGTTCCTCAAGTCCAGCAAAGCGTCACCTTGCAGAGGGCGAGCGATCCTCCCAGGGACGCCGCCCTCCGCTCTGGCCGGGGACGCAGAGCAGCTCGCGGAGTCCGCGGCGACCCGGACCCGTCTTCGGGTGCACAGGGAACGCTTCTGCGGAACCTTTCTTCTCTCTCCCGTGCGCTTCCACTCGGACCTGTTTGGAAACGGACACGGCAGAGGAGGCTTTAAACATGGAGGCCGCGGGTTCTGGTCCCGGGGAACCTTCTCCTCTAGAGGCCCCGGGGTCCCAGGACGATCGGCTCTTCCTGGTTAAAGGTATGGTTGCCCTGCGCTGGGATGGGGGTGTTCTCGAGCTCGTCCCGCCCTCCTGTTGAGTTTCCCCCTGAATCCAGCCTTGGGCCCGTGCGTCAGTCACCAGGTGGAGTCTCTCTAGTTTCCAGTCCGTGCTGTATTTACTCATCCTGCCCTTTCTGGTCGCCACTACTGCAACTCCGCGGTGCTATCTTCAAAGAATGTGCTCGGGAACCCGAGATGGCGAGGTCACCCGGCTTTTCCCAAGAGCCACTTGACCTTGATGTTTCGGATTTTGAATGCAATCATGAACGTACTTGTGAACATCTTTTTTTTTTTTTTTTTTTTCCGCTTAAAACTTTACTTTTAATACCTTCTTCCAATTCTTGACAGGTGGAATTTTCCTTGGTTCTGCAGCAGCAGCGGGAATGCTAGCCGGATTTCTTACAACATTATCATTAGCTAAAAAGAAAAGCCCGGAATGGTTCAGTAAGGTTTGTGACTACAAAATCTATTCATAACATTGCTTTTTTTTTTTTTTTTTTTTTTTTTTTTTTTTGCAGAATTCGTTTTATTTTTTATTTAAAACTTTAAAAACTTCATTTTTAAAAATGCAATGTATTTTGATTATGTTTCCTACCCCCTCAATTCCTCCTAGATCCTCCTCACCTCCCTACCATAAGCTTTCTGTGATAGAATAAGAAACTAAGTCTGGAGAGGCCAGCTGTACCGTCAAGGTCCCACAAGTGAATAGTGAAAGAGTGCTATTGTTTTTTAACAGAGGACAGTTTTTTTTACATAGGAAAAAATAGTGACCTTTCGCATTGTTTTTAAAAATACACCCACAAAACCCCATGGAGTTAAGAAGTATACTAGTTGTCAGTCAGTCTTGACATTTTTCCTGTGGTTTCTTAAAATTAACAGAACAAAGCTTTGGAAACTTATCCATTGCCTTTCCTCCTCGGAGCATGACTTAGTAACTTATTATTGATAACAAGAGACTCCACTTAGAGAGAAAACCACTGTCACTTAAACCATTGATGCTGGCTGCAAGAAGTGTGTCTATCTCCTAGATGTTAAAATGTTAACATTCTTTAAGATGAGTGAAAACTTTGTTTTTGTTTTTATTTTTTAACACAAGGACCAGACATCGCTCAGCCTCTGTCACTATGAAATCCTTGGCACATAGTTGCTCAGAGAGCATTGGATGAATAGCTGTAACCCACTTGAGACAGGATCTGTGTTCTGTTAGCAGGAGTGTGCGTTTGCTGTGTGATGTCTAGTGCCTTCTTTCCCTGGCGTGGGGGGGGGGGGCTGTGTGAAGGTTCTGAGAGCTACATGCAGTTGCTTATAATGTTTACTCTTTTCCCCTCCCATCCATATGGCTGATTCATTCATTACCTGGTCATTTCAGCAATGTTTACTTGGGATCTTTTATGTTTCAGGCACTCTACTACTGAAGTGGAAAGGGTATCAATAGCATGGCTGTCCCTCAGGAACTTGTGTCTGCTGTAAGAGATAAAATTAGATATTCACATGAATAACTATGTAATTAGTTTGATGTGTGCTATAAAAGAGTGTTATATGAAAAAATCATACAGCAGTTCTCTGCCCACTTACCTGTAGTAACCATATTTACGCTTTTATGGCTGCTGTAATGACAAGACACTGTATCTTAATTGCCTTCCAATCCCCTCTCAATACTCTAAAGCCTTATGGAACTACTAAGGTCATTTCGGTGGCTCTTGTGGGTCATTTCCTCCCTATATCTTACAATATGTTTAGAGAAGAAATGTATCTTGTGGCGGATGGCATTAAGACCCAACCGATATTGGTGTTTATCAGTGAGCTGTGTTTGATTTCCAAACCACAGTTACCATGTTAACCCTTGGGTCAGGGATCTACTCAAGAACCCGATGAGGGCTAGGGATTGTCCTTTTCCTACGCGTTGACGCTTGGCGCTTTGTTTTGTTCTGGGGCTGGATCATCACTTGTGCCGCTTGTGGTCTAACACAGTGTTACACTGTGGCCCACAGAATCCCGATGGTCATGTTTGGAGACACACTGCACAGAGCAGTGGAGAAAGTACTAAAGTGGACGCTACGGACTTAGGCGTACACGGCAGCGATGGCACAAAACCGTCCTTGGAACCATTGTGTCCTTCGTTGCGATTCACCAGTCCTTTCCACAGAATTCAAAGGACCCAGCATTGGGTAACTGTCGTTGCTGATGAGGCTTGCATATGCCTGACTCTTAAGATCCGTATGATCAGTGGGAGCGGTGGCTGAAGCACCCGTGCTTCACAGTGGAATGAGAACAAGCAACCTCCTTACAAGCTGAAGCAGCAGCCGTCCCCTGGAGTAGCTTTCTGTGAGGGAACATCTGCCAGGCTGCAGGTTCCTCAGACGTGGGGCGTTTCCTTAAACACACAAAGTAAGGCCGGCTCTTGGGGAGAGCAGCTGTCAATCTTGGTTGCCACTGCTTGTAAGTTTTCAAGTGAAAACACGTTAAGACTCGTAACTGCCGTCATGAACTTGACGGCTTCTCAATATTAACAGTTTTGCTGATGAGGTTTTATGGTTTCAGTGCTGATTTGAAAACACCGTTTAACACGAGATCAGCGGTTGAGAGATCTGTATGATTTAGTAAGCTAGTACCTTCTGAATAGTCGCTCTGCGTGGAAGAGTTGCTCTACATGGAATGGTGCCTGTTCAAAGTGCACAGTTACCTAGTGATTTGAATGTTACAAACGGCAAATTTTCCACTAATAGGATTCCCTGTGGCAACCATCCTTCAGAAGGCTTTTTATTTATTTATTTATTTATTTATTTTTGTTCAGTGCTGGTATATTACAAAGAAGAAAAGCTAATCAAATACTTCTTTTTCTAACCACACACCTGTGTGGTGCCAGAGTTTTATTCATATATAAAAGATCGATTATAGATATGAAAAGCCACTTTTTCAGGCTGGACATTTAAAAGATAACATCCATCCTCTGTGCTTTTTCTTTCTTTTCTTTTCTTTTTTTTATTTTTGGCTTGGAAAGATAGTTCTTTTAATATAAAAATGGATTTATAGCAATATATGGATTTGGCATTTTAAATGAATAAAGTACAAATTTCTGCTTTAATTTCTAATATAGCAGGTATTGATAAGGCCCACATACTTGAACATCTTTGGGACCCATGTATAAAGGAACTTCAGAAACACTGCACAGCACAGTGTTTCCCACAAGGGGAAACATTGAAATTAGCAAGTCCCCACTGAGATGATTGCCTGACAGCATATGGTTGCTGAGCTCATACTGAGCACCCATCTGAGAAAGTCGCACAGGCCGTGGCCTGTAGTCACCACTGGAGGTCTTCTCTCCCATTCCCAGTACCAGTCCCTAGTCCTGAATGCTCACTGTGTGTTAGCCGCTCTTCCAAGGGCCACACTCATTAAACACACAGCCCAGCCCACCGACACGCTGGATGCTGTTCCCACTCAACAGCGGGACACTGAGACATGCGTGGGTTAAGCAATTGGCACAACATGGCACTCCCTCTTTGTCACGCTAAGGGACAAATGTGCCGTGTTTAGCAGCACACGTATTAAAATAAGCTGTGCTCCCCTGGAAACAGAATCAAATTGCAACCCAAAAGGGCTTTCAAATGACCAACCTTTCATCTGGGGACTGCCTACGCCTTTTCTATTGCAGGGGGATAATCATTCCCTTGGTGCTTTATTTTTGGAATAACTGGTCTTACACTAGGAAGCTGAAAAGTTGAAAAAGAATATATGTTTAAGGGGAAAGTGCAAAGTGCAAACTAAAGTTACAAAAAAAGTATTTCCCTTTTATCTGTCAATGCACACACTCCACAAAGAGATACCGAGAGAAGGCATGGAGGGGGGGGGGGCAGATGGACAGAGAGACACATGGGAATCTTGATAGTATGTTCCAGGCTTTTCCGGAAGGATAAACGACCACAGTGCCCCCACACTCAAGCCTCCATCAGTCAGAGAATGTACACATTTACAGAGGTAGCAGAGCTGCCTGCCATTTGGCCTTGGGCTGGGCTGGCCTCCCAGGTCAGTCAGGCTGTTACTCAGGAGGACTGTAATCTGCTCCCAACACTTCCAGAACATTTCCTCAGTATTTTACCCAAGCTTTCTGTGTTCGTTGCAGGGCACTATGGCCACGGCTGCCTTACCAGAGAGTGGGTCTTCCCTCGCTCTGCGAGCCCTGGGCTGGGGATCTCTCTATGCCTGGTGCGGGGTCGGCATGATCAGCTTCGCAGTCTGGAAAGCTCTGGGAGTTCACAGTGTAAGTAACCAGCCTTGTGACTGGCTGTTGACATTGTTGTTGTCCAACTTCCTGGTTTTCAGATTTGCATGTGATTTGGTCTCCGTCTTCTGTTGTAGTGACACGGAACATGACAAAATTCTTGCCAATATGTAGGCAACTTCCTGTTGCTATAACTTAAGCTTTTCAAATACAATTAATGACTGATTCAGAGCTAATGTTCATTCCGTATAAATTGGTGTTACCTATTTAATAAAGTTAGTGATTCAAAATGACTTTCTATACTGTTTGGCATCTGTATACGTAAACATCTTAGTCATACGCATGCTTCAGAGAAAAGTCTTAAGTGCGTGTGCGCTCGTGTCAAATGGGCGCCCTGAACTAGAAGTTATACTCGAGGAATGACTGCTTTTCTTCTTTCCCATTTTCTTAAATGATCAATGGGAAGCTCTGCAGCGGGCCGTGCACACGGACCGGAGGACACAGTGGTTAGCGGTAGGTGGCATCGGCGGCACTGGTGATGGAAAGAGCGTTCTCACAATCAGAGTCAGCAGGGGGTTGCTGTGTGTGATGGCATGCGAGGTCCAGGGATTTCTCCAAGCATTGGATTGAGCAACTGGAAAACAGAAGGGGTCCGTGTGGCTGGAGCAGGTGTCGGGTAGAATCGGGCTCAGTGTGGGGCTTGTGAGCTGGAACCGTCTGTTAGGTAGGCATGCTGTCTTAGTCGCTGTTCTGTTGCTGTGGAGAGACGCCATGACCAAGGCAACGCCTGTGAAGGACAGCATTTAACTGGGGACCTGCTTACAGTTCCAGAGGCTGAGTGCATTGTCATCTTGGTGGGGAGTACAGCAGCCTGCAGGCAGGTGATAGAGCAGAAGCTGACAGCTACATCCGGATCCATGGGCGGGGGCAAGGAGGGGCGGGGGCAAGGAGGGGCGGGACTGGCCTGGCTTGGGCTTTTGAAACCTCAGAGCCCGCCCCCAGTGACACATTTCCTCTAACATGGCCACGCCTCCTAATCCTTGTAATATTGTCAAAGAGTTCTACTCCTTGGTGGCCAAGCATTCACACATATGAGCCTCTGGGGGCCACTCTTACTCAGACCACCCCACAGAGTCAACGGGTGACTTTGGAATCAAGAAGAGGTTCCAGCAGAGATGTGAATTTGAGACTCACCGTATGTGGGTAGAATTACAAGCCTCGATTGCAGCTGGACTAGGCTAGTAAGAGCAAGAAAGAGACCTGAGGAGGGAGAGCCTGGGGATGGGGTTTTCAGGTGAGACCGTGAGCAGCATGGACTGGGGATCCCCGAGTGGTACCCTGCAGTGAGAAACCTTTCAGAGAGAAATCGCCGTGTTCCGTGCTTGGGAAGATTCTCGCGAGGAGCATCGACTTTTCACTGAGCTTAGCGTGTGGTCCTCATCAGGCACACTGGGGTGGACAGCCTCTGTGGAATGGGTTCTGAAGGGAACAGCAGGGAGGACCTGGAAGCGGTTTGTCTAGACAAGCCTTGAGTTTTACTGTGAATCGAATGAGGAAACCCTGCCTAAAGAGTGAGCGAGCAGGAAAGTTTAGTGCTTTTGTTTTCTAAACTGGTGGGGGGGGGGGGGTTGATCGCGTGTATGTGGTGATGGAAATGTTGGAATTGGTGGGACTTGCCGGAGCAGCCTTCTACGCATGGAGTGTTTGTCACATTAACTAGAGATGAGCATTGCACCCTGCTCACGGTACCCTGGGAGACATGGCAGGTCGCACTAGCCTCCCGCCTTTACTGCAGTCGCCCTGACGCCCTTACCTTTCAGCATTTCTCACAGCAGACTCACAGGGGACTGCTTAGAAAAGTCAGGAAACTGGGAATTGTCGGTGGTTGATGGCCTGTGCTCCATTTTCCGCCACTTCAACATTAGACTATGTAGACACAGCCATCTAGAAGATGCTAGTATTGGGAATCAATGGGGTTGTCTGTTGCCTAGCATCACATAGCCTTCTGCCAGCAGACTCTAGCTTGGAACTCAGGTTTTCCAGGTTTACCTCCACCGCTAAGAGGGGAAATAAAGGAGGCGCAGGGGAAGGGACAGTAGATTTGACTGCTCCGATCCACAGGGTCCCTGATAGCTCACCAAGCTTTCCGAGGCGGACGTCAGTCTCTCGCAGGACTGGCCTCTCTCTCAGACGAGGAGACATCTCAAGCCACTGGCTGAAGCAGCAGCATGCTTAGGGGCAAGTGAACATTTACATCTGTTACAAGAGAGGACAGCCATCTGAAAAACTCCAGACTGACAAATATGTGAACAAATAATAGACTATGAGTAAATATTTTTCTAATATTCTTAGAAATATTACGGTTGTGTCGATATTATGTAAAAATCTGCACAGGATGTCTACATTCATACTACCCAAATGCAGGTTTTATTTTTATTACTTTGTACCAAAAACAAAGCAAAGCTGCCCAGGGCCTCAGGAGACTTCCCAACCGACCGGCATGAGGTCTGTGCGGGGACACTTCTGCTCCTGTGGAAGTGACAGCCACCCATGGTTTGCATTGGCCATGCCGTGCTGACAGTTGCCGTGGGCACCAGCAGGGTGAGCGCAGAGCTGGGGATCGGAAGGGTCATCCCTACAAGGCCCCACCGCTGAACACGTCCGCCCAGCTCGTTGAGTACAGAGACGTTGAGCTGGTGCCTGCACAGAGCCTTCGCCCTACCTACATGCCGGCATCTGAGGTACAGCGTACTCTGCACGCTACCAAAGGAGAAACGGAAACACCAACCTAGCCACAAACTTGATCTCCACTGCTGATCTGCCTGCAGGATACGCTAGGGTAGTGGTGACAACAAAGCTTGTGAGGGTAATCAACCGATATGTGAGTTGGCATATGGCTCACTCCATAAGAAGAAACCCATACCTGACGCCAAATAGCTCAGGGACCTAGAATAAAACCAAATACTACACTTCACAATTCGAAACAAACAAAAACGTAGCAATACAATGACATTCTGCTATACTCGCAGATCTGTGCCTTGTTCAGCCATCCTCGGAGAAGCTTCCTCCTGCCGTAGACAGGAACAAAAACAGAGACCACAGTCAGACATTACCCAGAGAGTGAAACACCATGGAACACTCAGCCCGAAAAGGGATGTCTCCATCAAGTCCCTCCCCTCAGGTCTCAGGGAGCCCCGAGGAAAAGCAGACGCAAGGATTTGAGAGCCACGGGGATGGAGGGTACCAGGGGAAACAAGGCTCTCAGTCAACATGACTTGGACAGAGACCGAGGCAGCATCACAGTGTGATAGCTTTTGTTTTATTGCTATCCTATCCCTCAGCCTGTTTGTTCCCTAAAAGGAGGCAGAAAGGGACTGGATCTGCATGGGAGGGGAGGAGAAAGGGTCTGGGAGGAGCAGAGGGAGAGGAAATCATAATCAGGATATAGTATGTAAGGGAAAAAGTCTATTTTCAATAAAAGGGAAAAATGAAGAGTCATCATAAGAAATCTAAATTTTCATAGACCAACAAAAGTAGGTTATTATACTCCAGAGGATTTGACTTTATGGGCTAGACTGTGCTATTTTAGTTTCTAGAACATGGAAAAACTTTGTTTTATGATACCAATAAGAGGATTATTACCTAAATAAAATATCCGAGGGAGAAAAACATGTTTTCTAGTTAGTATTACTGAGTGTGCAAATATGTGGACCCTTTGACACTGCATCTTATGTCCTTTGGAAGGAGAGCGTAAACACCCTGTCCCGCTTCACGGGTCCCTGGGCTCGTCCATCCCATCTGCTCTTCAGAGACTCTCTCAAGAGACTAAACCCTCCATCTGTACAAGGACGTTTTAGAGGGCCAGGGTGTCCAGTTATTCCTCCAGAACTCGTGTGGGGCTTCCCCGAGCTGGCTGTGTAGGACCTCCCTAGCAAAGGCCACAGCCCTGGGCCAGGCTCCTGGACACCAGTAAGAAGATCCCTGCATGACAGTGAAGGCAGGGGGCTGGCCTGAGATTGCTGTTGAACTTGGTCTCTGTGTCCAGCCCCATTTGGGGAAATGGCATTTTTCTACGACCAAACATGACAATCTCAACAGATGATGAGCAGAATCATCCACGTCTGTGCACCAGGATGTAGGTGAGGTGGGCACTCCTAGGTTAGAGCAGGCAAATCAAAATCAACAGTATTGTCACTTAATTGCCATGGGCTACCTTGAATCTCACCTCTTGCCTGCCATCTAGTGGCTGCTTGTGAGTAGCTTCCCAGAAGCGCTTGCATTTTAATTCACAGTTACCTTTGCTGGCCTGAGAGGCAACATGTCTAAGTTGCTCAATCCAAAACCAGTGTCTTAAAATATTTCTGCTTTACTTTATTTACACATAGTTATGAAATTTCATTGTATGGAGAACTCATATGATACCTCAGTGTAAAAATACATTTATATCTCATACAGTGGTGTAGAATTTAATCAAAGATTCCCAAAATAACAGCTTCTGAAAGCTTTTACATTAGCTGGCCAAAGCACTAACCTTGCTCAAGGTTAAAGGTTAGGCCCCGAGAAACCACTCCAAGTTCAGGAGCCATCCACCCCAGTGCCCTGACCGGTACTGAGCCAGCCCAGTACAGCTTGATCATTATAGGTGAATTCACTGATCATTTTGAATTGTGCTATTTTATCATTTGAGCATTATTAGGCAGTATCTCATCTTAGTACTTTTACTATCTTGGGGGAGGAAACACACACACACACACACACACACACACAAACTTCTCTGTAGGTTCCTGGTCACCTGGTTAAACCAGCTGTGTACATGATTCCAGGAGACTGGTCATCCCGCCCAGGCAAGTACAGTGGAAGCAGTGTGATTAGATTGTCTCCGGGGCAGCTGGCTTAGCAGATAGTTGAGGGAAATGCAGTATTGAGGTGTGGTTTCCTGTCTGTGGAAGAAAGCACACTTCCCATTTGGTGATTGGCATGCTACTCATGCAGTGACTTGTTACCTCTGTCATTAGTCATTAGCGTCCTTTTATGATTTA